GTCTCTTCACCATCATGCTGGAGATCAGGCTGGGTCTCAGTTCATCATCGTGGTGGAGGCCTGGTTCTGTCTTAGTGTCTCTTCCTCATCATGGTAGAGATCTGCCTGTAGCTCTGTGTCTCAGTGTCTCTTCACCAGGATGGCTTCAGTCGGTCAACACCCTGTCTCCTTCTCTCTTAGAGAAACTGCCGCTCCAGTGATAACCCAACAGAGGCATATCGTTTCCTGATGGAGGAGAGGATCGTGTGTCAGCAGTCCCAGAGAGTCAAATACACCCAAAGAGTTGACTACATACTGCAGCTGCCAGTGCCTATGGAGCACGCCACTAATACAGGTAAACTACACCTCCCATCATCCACCTGGGCCAAGCTCCTGCCTCTCCTTATGGAGCTGCTGAGCAAGAGGCAGATGAGACTTGTAGTTTCAGAAAGGTGCGCACACTGCTCCTTCTTTGTCCTATCAACCTGCTGTGGGTTGTTGATTGAGGTTGAGGACCTGGGGTGCTGTCTGTGTGGGGTTTGTACGTTCTCCCCATGTTCTTGTGGGGATTCCTCTAGGTGCTCTAGTTTCCTTCCACAGTCCAAAGACATGCTGGTAAATTAATTGGCTTCTAGGAAAATTGGTGCTGGTGTGATTGAGTGTGTCTGTGTGTGTCCATGCAGTGGATTGGTGTCCCATCCAGGGTGTACCCTGCCTTGCACCCATTGCTTGCTGGGATAGGCTCTGGGTCTCCTGTGACCCTGTACTGGATAAAGCAGTTAGAAAACACATGGATGTTGAAAATGGAGTCTGTGAGCTCCAGTCCAGGTCTGAGGTAGAAGTCTTTTGTTAAATTGTCAAAGGAAGTTAATAATAATAAATAATAACTATAATCATTGCTTACACTTATATAGCTCTTTTCTGGACACTCCACTCAAAATGCTTTACAGGTAATGGGGATCCCCTCCACCACCACCACCAATGTGCAGCCCCACCTGGATGATGCACCAGTACTCTCCCCACACACCAGCTCTCAGTGGGGAGGAGAGCAGAGTGATGAAGCCAGTTCAGAGAGGGGGGTTATTAGGAGGCCATGATGAGTAAAACCCAGGGGGAAGTTTGCCCAGGACACCGGGGTTACACCCCTACTCTTTTTGAGAAACACTCTGGGATCTTTAATGACCACTGAGAGTCAGGACCTCGGTTTTAAGTCTCAACTGAAGGACGGCGCCTTTTTGCAGTACAGTGTCCCCGTCACTATACTGGGGCATCAGGACCCACACAGACTGCAGGGTGAGCGCCCCCTCCTGGCCCCACTAACACCTCTTCCAGCAGCAGCCTCAGCTCTCCCAGGAGTCTCCCATCCAGGTACTGGCCAGGCTCCCACCTGCTGAGCTTCAATGGGGCTGCCAGTTGTAAGTGGCAGGGTGTTATGGCTGCTGGCCAAGTTGTCTCTCTTTGTTAGTTCTTGGCCATACCTGGCCTCTGGTATTGTCTACCAGTGCAGGGCTGTTGCGTACAGGAGGTATAATTATAATTATGAGCTATAAATAGAAAATGGGAAAAACTGAGCTAGAACAGGCTAATTTCTGGACAAGTTTGAATGTGACTCATCCTGTTTATGTTGACAGGTCATTTACGTCTTCTAGACAATGTTGAGAATCTATATAAATATCAATAAAATGGTAGGATATTAGGATAGTGGTAGAAAGTGGTCTACCGGTGGTGAAACTGGTCAAAAAGTGTCCAGTTCAAATAAGGGGGGGGGGGTATAAAATTGCACTACACTCACAGGTGGAAGGAACTGAACTTGTCAGTCTTCAGTCTAACAGAGCCAAAACCCCATCAAACCCCTCAAAGGGGAAAAATAGTCAACCCAGCAGACGTCTCCTGAAAAAAACCGAGAACCACGCCCCAGAGTTCGCAAGCGGAAACGGGGTGAAGGTGCGTTTGTAACAGGAGGCACTTTGTTTTACGCCAAGGGTTGTGGGAGTTGACGACAAGCTACCCAGCCAGCTTGCTGAAGCTGGTTGCCTTGGTTTCTGTCAAGAACAATGGCTGGATGGTCATTTAAGTCCGATTGACCAAACAGCTGGGTGTGAGCGTTCCTGTGTCCTAACGGCATGTTGACTGAAGCAGTAGGAAGTGTGGTGGGTCTTCTCAAAGCCAGGTTCAGGTATATAGTTCACACTTGAACCTGATCATGCCTCTCCCGGTCCTTGGTGGGGTCACCTGGAGCCGTGCACGAAGCAGCACCGCCGGGATACATGGCGGCGATTAACCTGCTCTCCCCTCTCCCCCTCAGAGGAGCTGCAGGAGTACGAGCGAAGGCGCCGGGAGGCCGAGGAGACTCTCTCCCCGCCCCCCCCCGCCGTCCGCGCCGTCGTGCCTTTCTCCGTGTGCCTGGCGGCGTTTTCCGAGCCCGAGACCCTGGAGGAGTTCTGGAGCTCGGCCCTGCAGGCCAAGAGCACCGCCAGCAAGTGAGACCACAGCCTGCAG